AGTGAATAGAGCAAGTAGAAAAAACGAAATCCGAATTCGGTCATGTCATTCAATGGTCGAATACTTAGGATCCTCACTAATATTTGGATTTATATCTCATAACGACGATTCGATTAATATACATGTCGGAATTTTTCATCGCGGGAAAACATTCGATATTAAGTCATAGGAAAAATTGTTGAATATTTCAACTATACTTTGTACTAAAGGCAGTGAGCTGTAGTGCATAAACGTGGTAAAATTGTGAAATGCAGCATCAGCTTGGAGTTAACATGATATCGACTGATTCAAAGGGTCAAACATTTAGGTTTTCAACCGCGAGGCTTTTATGTTAAACGGAACGGAATCTGGCACCCTTAGCCGAGCAAACTTGTTTGCTTGGACATTTCCAAAGAGTTATCCTCCGGAGAAGCTGGTATATCATATCGAGGAACCACCCAAATATGGAATCCTTTCCCGAAAAATCAATGGGAAAAGCCGTAGAATTGGTGTTTCAACGAATTTTACGCAATTGGTAGTCCCTTTTTAAAGTTATACTATTATCGATCGCTATTGATTATATATTTGTAGGATCTCGACAATCGGTTGATCTCCTTCAAACTACATTTTATGCAATATTCTATTATTAACGATTTTTTTCTCTTCCGTGTTATCACTCCTGCAATCTCCTCCGAATCTCTCAGATTTGAGGTTAGTAAAGAAGAAAAATGTACTTTTCGTCTTTCCCTCACCTCTAGCCATTTCATTTGATAAAATGTTTCAGATTATCTTCGTTCCTACCCAAACATCCATTCAGTTGGTAAATCGCACAGTTGTCGTTCAGGAAGGAGATGCGGCTACGGTAGGAGTCCCGGGGTTATCCTGATTTGATAGGAGAGTGAAGAATTTGACTAGAGCCGCTATATTTCTAGATCACCTCTGACTCTCTGTCCCTAGCTACTCCAGATGATTCATTCTTTGTTTTCACGCTGGCTCTAGCACCTATACACGGAGCTTTGGTACTTAAGACTGACTCCGGCAACAGAACTCTCCTAGTTGGCATGAATTTCACCACCAGAGATGTGGCAGAGGAGAAGTGGGCAACTCGTTTAGAGTTTTTAGATTTTTACCGTAAAATAGATATCTATGGCCTTTGCAGACTTATATACTTCCACTCCGGCTCTGAATCCCGTTCTGATCGCCTACATCTTATCGCTGAATCAGCATTCCGTAAAGGAAGACGGATTCCATTTTGGATGTCTTTCTCAATTATTCCTATAAACGATAATAAACCACGGTTACAAGGAAGTAACACAATCCAGGTCTAAAATTTCTAGGAAAGAATTAGCAGATTTCTAACTTAGTTATTGT